TATTTTACCATGTGGTTACTATTAAGTGCATTGGCCTGCATCCATCCTTGCAGCAAAAAAAAAAATAAATAAAGCACTGCCCTGTAAGCATGCGCAGCTTTGCAGCCCTGCCAGCCCAAATATTTGGATTTTTCTGGTGGAGAGGGAGAGTTTGGGGAGCTGGAGTGCGTGTTTGGCTTTGGCACAGGCTGGGACGTGCTCTGTGCCCTTCACCTCCATCCCTTTGCAGGGAATTCGCCCCTGGGAAGTGATGGAGACAGTTTCTCCTCAGGTTTGGATTTTTTTATCCCCATGGTGATTTTAGGATTAAAACCTTGAAAAAAACACTCCCTTCCTCCACTCCTTCCTCATCCTCCGCTCATTCACAACTCATGAAGTCCATTCATCACCCCCTCTGTAAGCACTAGGGGCAAATCCTATATTAGCCACATGTGCAATCTCTTTTTTGCCTCCCAAGGAAGTTATTTAACAAGTTTTTCTTATTTTAAATGAGGGTTTTTTAGGAATCTCCCCCTGTATCCTGTGACAGACGTGATGCAGCCCCAATCCCAGTGGTTGTGCGGTTGTGCCCAAATCCCAGTGAAACACAAACTTCTGCACTGCCAGAAGCAGCTGATTTAATGCAAGGATGCCTTGCAATACCCTTAGAAATGCATTTTGTTCCTCATGGACACATTCCAGTGCATGCAAAGAAGAAAAGAGCTTGCTATGGGCTGACCCCAGACAATACAAAAAATGTTTTAGATACAGCAACTTGGATTTCCTCAATTAAACCACAGGTTGGCTATATTTAGGTCAAGAGATTGGTCAGGAAATTAAACTCATCCTTTTTTTTTTTCCTCTTTTATAGTCTTATTGGTACATCCTAACCACATCAAAACTTACTTACAATAATTCTCATGTGAGTGCTGAGCCCTGTTCCTCCACGTTTCTCCTCAAAGGGGAAATAATCATGATAACAGCTGTGAGTTGATGAGCCTGAGGGAGAACTGAAATTGTGTAAAAAGGGGATAATTTAGGGACAAATCTGGGGCACTCCCTGCAGCTGTGTGCTTGAACTGGCGTTACATCCTCCTGCATCACAGGCACAGAGGAAACAGGTGCCCAGTTTTGTCCCCAGCCCTTTTTCTGCAGTGAAATGTTATTTTTGCATGATGTCTTTAAAATGCTTCCCTCTATTTACTCCTTGCTGTAAGGAGTGAAGATCTGAGTCAGCATATGTGAATACATGGGCCTGGCTCCTGGCATGGATTTTGGGTTGGGGAAGTTGTTTAAATTCCTCACGTGGAAATTTTAACTATACCCCTTTCCCCTTTGCCCCCCACCAAACCCTGGGGGCATCTGTGGTCCCACAGCTGGGATGTGCAAGCATCTCCATAGGGAAACCCCACCAGCCAACCCCAGCCTGCAGGAAGGGACTGTGCAGAAAGGAAATCCAAAGGATTTGCTGCTTTTATCTCTTTTCATCTCTGAGTTTATTAAAGTGCAAATGTCAACCATGGAGACAGCTATCACATGCAGTGCAGTACACCGAGAAACACTTTCCACACCATAAATGGAAGGAAAAAGGCTTCGTCGTGATTATCTGATGCACAAAGGACAGAACTGAACCAGGGCTCTGTGCCCTTCCATAACAAAAATACTACAGCCATGAACTGGGAAACAAAACCCTCTCCAGGCCCTCAGTTGACAAAATAGAAAATATTGAGAAGGACGGAGTGTTTATAGAGCTCAGGGGGTTTTTATGAGCTTCATACTAATGATATGTTTGAAGGGATGCTTCTACTCAGAACTTTTTAAAGTTCAGTACCTTTTTCTTAAAATTATAAATACATGATATTATAAGTCATAAATACTCCTTAGAGTATGAATTTAAGAACTGCAGTGGACAAGTCCAGTTTACCTCTCTGATAGAGCTGAGGTTTGTCTGCCCAAAGATGCTGGGCCAAGGACACCACAGAAATCCTGGGATTCAGTTTTGCTTTGTGCTCTAAAAGAAAAAAAACAAAACAAATGCATTGAGGTACAAACCACGTGAATATAACATGATACAGAACACATGAACATGCTTTCAGCAACAAGAATAAATATTACCATGGCTACAGGATCTACTTCACAGCTTTGTGAGATGAGGATAAATAAACTATTTCCAAACTTGAAAAAAAAATTATCAGAGATGAATCTTACAAATAAACTTTGATTTTTAAATTAAGGCAGCTTCAGCAGGAACTTCAAGGCTTTTGTCGAAAACAGACTTTTTCTAACACCAAAAGTGTACTCGTGCTTGCAGGTAGAGCTCTGATTCACAGTCTAGTTCTCCTAATTTTGACAATTAAAATGACAATTAAAAGATCCGTGCATCGAATACCAGGTGTGCTCTCTGCAAAAGTCAGTGTTCCATCAGTAGGTGTCATGTGGGAACTCTGAAACCCAGTTCACCTCTCAGGCATGGGACTGAGGTACCTCTGGCTGAATCATTAACTCCATGGCCAGGAGGCAGACTGGGAATTCAGAATTACAAGAAGCTGTTGCAATTTTATTTTTTATAAGCAAATGATGAAAAAGGGATATATAAGGGGAGGGCTAAGGAAGCCAAAGGAAAGCACTGAATGAAAAGCCCATACCAAAGTAAGACCTTAAGAAAGGTGACTCTAGTAAGGTCCATCATATACCTGGAACAAAAGCAGACCCTAAAACTTTCCAGGAAAGGAACAGCAGGAGCTCGAGCGGGGGTTGGCTTGGCTCATCCAGATGTGCGATTCTTCTTCCCTCTCTCCTCTCAGCTAATAAAAGGGTGAAGCCAAATAATTGCACAACAAATGGTACTTCAAGTATTTAGAAACACGGCCTGCATGTCTCAGAGGGGGGATCCTGCACGAGCTGGGGAAATTGTGCACCTCGTGAAACAAAGCTGCCACTTCCAGCAGCCGCGGCGCGCAGCGAAGGCACGAGTTCATGTCCTGCACTCAGCTCCCTCCTCCTCCTGCAGGGCTGCACGCTGACAGCAAGAGCAGTGAAATGAAAAGGAGTAGACAGAAGGGTTATTTTGTTCAAACCTCATCAATTCCAACACGAATGCCACTATAATCACACACAGAAACACATACGCAGCACACGCTAACCAGCTGGTTCACGTTTTTACAGCACTGCCCGTGGACTCCCCTGTGCTTGTACACACCTCGTGAAATGCTAAACTGGACACACAGCTCAAGGTACATTTCTGACCCATTGAAGGGAAAAAAAATAAAATATCCTGCTGCCTTTACCTGCTCAGCTCCAGCTCCTGATAATAAACCTGCCCCAAACCCCGTCAGCAGCAAGGCTTTGGCCAGGGGGGTGGAAGGGCAGGATTCTCACAGCTCCTGATGCCACCTCTCCTCCCATCCCTGGCCAAGGCCATGCCGTGCCTGATGGGGTGAGCTAAGCTACTCATGGGCTTTACCTAAAAGAGGATGTAAAAATAGCATTCCCTTTGTCCAGGTCCTCTCAGAGGCTGGGATTAGTGAGGGGTGGCAGTGTCCAGGGCACACACCTGCCCTGCTGGAAGAATAAAGCTGAGAGGTCAATGACTGGGATGCCACCTACATTTTATATATATGCATATACAAGATTTACAAATGCATAGCTTCCAACAAGAACACAAGGTATTCCTGAATTAACTCATCCAGGAGCTGGAGGTTTCTGTTGGAGCCTATCTGAACTCTTCATCCTTTGCATTTTGTCTCTCTCCTCCTCGGACTGAAGCAAAATTTGGGTGAGCTTGTGGCTTGCAAAGCACAGCTGTTCAGTGGCTTCTGAAGAATTGCACTTGGAGTAATTCAAGTTTCTGTAGTTCAAATATTGTCTACCCTGCTTTTCCCGACGCTTGTGCATGCACCAGCATAACTCAAAAAGAGCTGACCACAGCGTAACAGTGTGGAAGTTAAACTCTTCCTCTGGAAAATGTAACTGGAGGTCAGCAGCTCCTCTGCAGCTGGGAAACACAACACAGCCTATTTGAAGGTAAAATAAATAATAAAAAGAAGTGAAAGTCCTCAGAGTGTTCCAAAGTGCAGCACGGATTTGGGCAAGGCTGTGTTGGACCAGTCAGTCCAATGTGGTCACTGGGGAGGTGCTTCCACCATCCTGCTCCCTCCTCTGCCTCTGCTGACCCTGAGCAGGGAAGGGCTTCATCTCTTTGTGTCTTGGCATATGGAAAACTGAGTAACTCTGCCCTGCAGGACTGGTTCTGCAGACCCACACAGCAGTTAATGTTTGCACGGGTCAGAGAAGGTGCCAAGTGCCACAAGGGGCTTATTCTACAGCCTAGAAATCCCACCCGCCTCCAGGAAGGAAATATTTCCTCCCAGGGGCATTTGCTGCTGCTTAATACTATTAGTTCTGCTGGGTAGGAAATCCCAGAGGACAAGAGTCAATTTGAAAAAAGACATCAGTACATCTACCTGCTCCTGAGCCCAGACTGGAACACACCAGCCCCTTATCAAGGGGGCTGCAGGTGCTGCCAGGGCTTGGCAAGATGCTCAGCTGAGAGTGAAGATGTGAAAAGCCTTTAACATTTGAAATACATTTCACTTCATTTCATTGCTGTTTCCTGGATGGAAATTAATGCCTGGCCCTACAGCTGCTCCTGCTCCTCTGCAAAGGGGTTTATCTCCATCACCCCAAATCTCAGCCTTGATCCAAAAGCTGCTGAAGGGCTGGGTGCTCCTCAGCTTTGACTCTGGGGTGGGGTTTGGTTTTTTGTTTTTTTTTATTTTTTTTTATTTTTGCATGCAGGAGTTTGGATTCTCCATCCAAACTCACACCACAGCACTGGGACACAAATCACCTGGCAGCCACCAGGCACAGCACCAAAGCCATCCTCACCCCAGAGTAGTTATTTAATAATCACAATGTACTAAAAGGCTCATTACAAAACCTAGGAGCACTACAAATATTTCCAGTATTTCTTACAGTCCAACCACTGCTGTGTTGGATTTAGTGTTCAAGAGCAAAACTGATTTTTTTTTTTTTCTTTTTTTTTTTTGGAAGCTTTCTACTTTGTGCGGCTTCTGGAAAAATTGCAACTGTAAAGTCACGTTAGTGAGGATCCAAGCACAATCTGTAACAAAAGTAAGGCAATTTTGTGGTTCTTTTTTAAAAAAAAGGGACTTCAAACTGAAAAAGTCCATTTAACTGCCAGTAGATGGCAAAAATATCCCGTGTTTGTCTTGATTACCTTAAATGATTAGTAAAAAAGGCTTAATTTGTTGTTCTTTTCCTTGCTTCTCATACAAACTTGCGGAAAGTATAAATTAAAGTGCAAATGTACAAAAAAGAAAACCCTAGGAAAAAACCTCAAGGGGTCATAAGAAGCTATCAAAAAGACAGATTACATTTTTTTTTCAAGTCGAATGACTGCATACCTGGGACCAGCAAAAGTTCTTTGCTTTGTTTCTTAAAACAGAACACAAAAGAAAAAAAAACAAAACAACAGAACAAAACCAACCCCCCCCCAATATTTTTTGGCAAAGCTTTTATAAAGCATTTGTTCCTTGATTAGACTATTACTTCATAATCAAGTAAATGGAATTAAACACCATGTCAAAGCCAAGCAGATGCCAACGCTGCCCATTAGATTAATCCCGTGTAATAAAAAATAATAACTCTTTTAAACAAAGAATTCACACATGCATTAGGGTTTACCCTTGGGTAACAAAAATTTAACCTTAAAAATCCCCACAGTTCATCTTAAAAAATAAAACCCCATCCTTCAGATAGCCAGTAGCAAAGGAACAGTAAAATTCCGGGTTGGGATATCCCTGCCTGGTCAGCAGAGCGGCGAAGGTCACAGTCCAGTGGGCAGCAGCAGCAGGACAGGAGAGCCCTTGGGCAGGAGCAGTGAGTGTCCAGCAGCAGGGAAGGCAGATTTGGCAGTGATTTTGGGGAGGTGACAACAGGCAGAGTGTCCTAGGGGAGAGGTGAGAGGTGAGTGCTCTGGAGCTGTGCACTGCTGGTGGCTCCTGCCCATCAGGGATGATCCCGACCCTGGCGGAAGCGCTGGGTCCTCAGGGGGGTGATCCAGATCCTGTCCTCTGCTCACCTGAGCCCTGCTTGGCATTCAGCCCCTGGAGCCCGTGGTGAGGCAGGGCAGGGGGAGCAGGCTGCAGGGAGGGGAGAAAAAGGCAATCTGCCTTCAGCTCCGAGCGTGGCGAGCAGCTCAGTGCTGCCCGGAGCCCTTGGGCAAAACAAAGCACCTTAGGGACACTCCCCTGCAAAGAGTGGACAGGGACAAAGACTGCACCTTAGGGACACTCCTCTGCTGAGAGTGGACAGGGACAAAGACTGCACCTTAGGGACACTCCTCTGCAGAGATTGCACCTTAGGGACACTCCTCTGCAAAGAGTGGACAAGGGCAAAGACTACACCTTAGGGACATTCCTCTGCAAAGACTGTCAGGTTTGCACCAGGACCTTTGCACATCCCACCTTCCCTGCCCATCTTCAGCAGAAGGAAAAAAGAGAGGGGAGGGAGGTCATATTGCACTAGTGCAGAAGCATCTAAGCAGCTGCTGCTTTGGGGAGAAGAGTGTGAGAGAGGCTGGCAGCTGGGTGTGAACGCTGCAGAGCTGCTTCATCACCCTCCACTCCATCTCACAGGGCTCCTGGTCAGCCTCTCTGCCCTGGCTCGGCCCAGCTCTCCACAGCATCAGGGAGAACATCAAACTCCCTGCAGGAAGCGTGGCTGTGCCTCCATTAGCTCAGGATGAACCAGGGGGGAGGTGTTTTCCAAAAACTCAGTGATAATGTTTGTTACTTTACAGCCTTAACATTTCCTATGGGGTTCACAAGGAAAGAAGAAAAAAGAGTATTGGATACATTTCGCCAGGCACAAGGAGAGAAGTTAAGTTAATTTCCTTGGTGCCTTGCTAGAGGGGAGCATGTTTTGGGTCTGGACTTGGCTCTGTGGGGCAGTGAGGGGAGGAGGAGGAGGAAGAACAAGGAAGCAAAAGAAAGGAGGGGGCGGACGAGTCGGCGCAGATCCTCACGGTGCGCAGAGGGGCCGTCAGCGGGCCAGGGCCATGATGAGGCTGGCACACATCTCAAAGAAGTCCATGGTGTGGCTGCCCAGGCGGGGGGGCACCGAGGGGATGCTGCCCACGAAGGAGCCGCTCAGGGAGCCCATCAGGGACTGGCACTCGGTGGCCGCGGCTGCGTCAATGCTCAGGCGCGGCCGGTGCAAGCCCGCGGCCGAGCAGGAGCGCTGGGGCGTGGAGGAGCCAGACCTCTGCTCCATCACCTCGTCTAGAAAAGCCAGAAACAAAAAAAGGGAGAAGAGAGAAAAAGTGGGGTTAGTTCAGCAGCTGCAGTGCGGGTGTGGTAATGAAATGGGAACAGCAGCAGAGTTTGAGAGGTGCATAAGGGCTTCTGCTGAAATGACACGCATGTGTAAGCACTTCAGAATGCAGAAGATGGTTCTTAAACTTCCAGCCTCGCCCTTATGCATTTTCTCCATCTCCTACTCACCATCAATGCTTTTGAAGTCCAGCAGATAGCTGCGGTTGTCCACCTGGTAGAGCTGCAGGCTCATCTTCACGTAGTTGCCGGTGACGGGGTTCTTGCGGCGCACCCGCAGGTGGTAGGCGTTCACCACCTGCAAGGGAAACCTGCCCTCAGCAGGGACACTCCAGGCACCAACAGGAACACTTCTTCCCTTATTTTTTCTAAATATGAGCAAGACATTTTCTGGGAAAAACGGTTTCTCAAAAGGACAACCACTATAAAATGAAGCAAGCAGCCTTGTTTCCTCCTGTCTTTAAATATTCTTCTTAAGGCTGTTCTTCCTCAGCCAGCTGCTGGCTGAGGAAGCTGCAGTGACCCATCTGCCAGGCACAAAACTGATGTTTGCTCGTCCCTCAGCAGCAGCCATGGCCACATGGACCAAAAAGTCCACTTGTGGGACAACACACATGGACAGTGTTCATGAAATCAGGGCAAGCTCTGAAATCAGAGCAGCCTCTCCCATCAGCACAGCCAAACCCAGTGCCTGTGGATCAGCCTCAGGCTGAGTATTTCCCCTCTCTGCTTCCCACCTCACAATCTGCTGCATCTCATTTACAGTGAGATCTTTTCTCTGTGCTATATTTATGAAGCAACTGTGTGGATGGGAGAGTTAATTCTGAGGAAGAGTCACATCTGAAGTTATTCTTAGGGTGGGAAGGGCTATTGTGAAACCTCCTTGTATGAAATAAGCTGCACTGCCTACACACAGAGATGTTGGGCTGAGTTGGTTTCTGAGGCTGTAGCAGAAATACAGCAGGTTTGCTCACTCTCTGTAAAACCAAGCAGCTAAAAAATGTCTGGCTGGTGTGGGCAAATGCACATGGCCATGGTCCATCTCCTGCCTGGTGCAGGGAAATGGGGTTTCTGGAAGCTACTTGGTTTTAAAAATGTAATATTATCAAAAATAATGAGAAAGCAGGAGGTTTTAAAGAAGTAGAACAGTGAAATTCACACCGTACAACACTTGGGACCTGGAGGGAAGAGGAAAGCTCCTCTGGTGATGAAGATCTGGGCTGAAATTCTCCTTACCTGGCTCCCAATGCTCACATGATGCCAAAGGCCACAAGCCAGGAGAGCTCACCTCAGGGGCTGCACCAGGATTTGGGGAGTCAGGCACAGCAGCAGAGCTCCAGGGCTAACTTAGGGATGTATTATTCCAACTTTGAAAAGGACTGTGACTAAGTGTTGCACAGCCCCGGAGAAATACCTGCAGTGAGTACTGTCAGCTAAAACATCTGGATTTAAATCAAGAAGCTGAGCCCTAAACTGAAGAAGCAATAAGTGTCTGAAAACACATCTGGTCCATGAGCACTGCTGCATCTCCATCAGGGAAAAGCCACCACATCAAAGATACAAATTCTGCACCCAAGGCTCCCCTGCCCCTCATTGGAGCATCCTTTAGGACAATTTGCACTGTACCATTTCTGTCCTGACAGGACCAGGCAGAAATAATGAGAGTTCCTCTGCTCAGGAGCACTCGAGATGACCTTGCAAGGAATTAGCCACTAAAATTAGAAATGTGAACAGCTCCTCTGATCCCTGCAGCTAAACAAGGCAGAATCATCTTTCCAGCTGAAGTCTTGGGGCACCTTATTTCACACCATAAAGAAACACCACAGATATGCACAAATGAGCACAGCTGTCACCTTAATTCAGTGAGTTTGCCTTAAAAAGGAATAGCAGGGATGATTGCAAGGTGGGGTATTTATCTGGTGTTACTGTTATATTTTCTGGAAAAATCTTTTTGCCCAGGATTTTGCTCCTGGGAAGCTGAGAAGCCTCAGAGAAAAAATGAAAACAATAATTATCTGATTTGCTTCTCCTGTGTTTTGCTGCTTTGGAATGTGTTTGGACATTGTTTACCAACAGGTGCTTGTTTCATTGGTTTCACGTGAATTGTTTTGACTTAATGACCAATCTCAGTTCAGCTGTGTTGGGACTCTGGAAGGAGTCACTATTTTTCATTATTATCTTTTTAGTATTCGGTCTGTATCCTTTCTCTATTCTTTAGTATAGTTTAGTATAGTATTCTTTAATATAACATTATATATATTTCATATATATATTCTATGTTATATGTTATAACATAACATTATATATATTTAACATATATAATATGTTAAATTTATATAATATATTAAGTATATTTAACATATATATAATATGTTATATATGTTAAACATATGATATTATATATATTTAATATATATAGTATATATAATACTATACTATATATAATATTTATAGTATTATATATTAAATATATTATATATTATATATTTTATATATATTATATATTATATATTATATATTATATATTATAATAATATAGTATATAATTATATTCATATAATATTATATATTTAATATCATAAAATAATAAATTAATCTTTTAAGAACATAGAATCAGATGCATCATTCCTTCCTTCCCTTGTTGGGAGTCCTTAAAAATACAACAATCTGGAAAGAGGTGAGGCATTTGTCTGCAAACAGGTGAGACCTTTGTCTGGAAACTGGTGGGGGCATTTATCTGGAAACAGGTAGGGGCATTTGTCTGGAAATAGGTGGGAGCATTTGTCTGGAAACAGGTAAAAATTAAGGGTAAAATTAAATGCATTAAAAACCTGGAAACAGGTGCGGCTCCCTGAGTTTATGGGACAAAGGATGCTGTAAACCCACGCCAGCACTCCCTACCTTCCACTCGAAGTCCAGCTGCTTCATAGCCCGGTACACCTCGGCCATAATGTCGTAGGGCTTGCTCTGGCTGCGGATGCCCAGGTGCCACTTGGCCTTTTTGACAGTCAGGGGCTTTGGCTTGGTGGTGTTGAGGGCGTCCAGGGGGCAGCGTGCCTTGGGGCTGTCGGCAATGAGCGGCGGCATCCGCTCGGGGTGCGGCTTGACGCCCGGCGGGATGTGCAGGGTGCTGTCATCCATGAAGGAGCCTGTGGGGGGGCTGGAGGCCAGGTAGAACTCGCTGGCCTGGTTCATGATGCGGCGGTTGTCAATGACCAGGTGGTAGGCCACGGCCAGCTGGTCCTGCGGGTCGCCGCTGTACAGGCTGTTCATCACCTCCGACTCGGTGCACTCGAACTTCTCGCACACCTCGCGCACCGCCTCGTCGTCGATGACTGTGGCATCATAGGAAGGGTCCTCTGGGAACAGGTAGCTGGGCAGCTCCTCCTTGAACCACTCGTGTTCCCTGGGGAGGGCAGAGGGGAGCCTTGCTGTGAAAGGGGAGGTGGGGAAAGCACCACCAGACAAGAATAAACCCTAGCTGATGAATGGGGAGCAAAACCCAGCTCGGTACAGGGACACCGATGGCACTCTGCACACTGAGTTTGAAGTGGCACTCAACACTTCCAAGATTCCCTTTTTTATGATACAGAGCATCAAACCTACCCAATTCCCATGCCCAATACCCAATTCTCACCAATTTACAATGACGTGAATGATAATTAAGTGTCTACAACTCGCACGCTGCCTTGTCTATAGGTTCTATTTATTGACAACAATCTTGCCTCATGTGCTGCCTCTCTAACATGTAATTAAGCCCTCTCACCCTAAGGAATTAAGGAATAAAATAAGGAAGTTTGCATGGATTTGCTTGAAGGCTAAAATTAAGGCTGTCCATTGAAAATGCATTAAAAACCTGAGAATTCCTGGAAGCCATAATACGGTTTATGTTCATGCTTAGCACATAGCTACATGTAATTTACATATTAAGTGAGTAACTCTTGGGTCTCTCCTCCTTTTCTTTTGGATATACATTAAGTACAATGATTATCCCCTTTATCTGGTACCCATAGGGATGTAGTCTTGAAAAATGGCTGTTGGATATTATTAAATTCTTGGGATTATTGCATGCTATAGCTGGTTTTGCTAAGTGCTCTTAAGAGATTTTTAAGGCTAGTTTATAATGAAATAAAATAGAATTTTAAATATTTGCATATAAAATTTATATAAAAAATCCTCATCCTGTTCATCATCATCCACTTCCAGCCAACACAGAAGGGGTGCAGGGCTGAATCACCTGGGACAAAAAACATCTGGATTAGCTGGCTACTCCTGAAAACCACCCTGCCAACAGGAGACCCCCAGGACAGCCACCGGAGACCCCCTGAGGCAGCCAGCCCAGCCCAGCCCACCTGATGTCCTTGATGGTGGCTCTCTTGAGGGGGTCCACCTGCAGCATGTGCATGAGGAGTGTGGCCACGGAGCGGTTGAGGTATTCCGGGATGTAAAACACTCCCCCACGGATCTTCTTGAACAGGGTGGGGACGTGCTCGTCATCAAAAGGCAGAGTGCCACACAGGAGGGCGTAGAGGATGACACCACAGCTCCAGATGTCCACCTCTGGGCCAGCATAGAGCCTGCATGAGGACAAGGACAGGAGAGAGATGTCATCACCATCTGCTCCTCAGTTAGGGTGCAGGTTCTGTGTCACCCCATCCTCTCCTCAATCAGGGTGCAGATGGGGGGAACCCCTGCCAGCTCCAGCAGGGACAGAGCTCCAGCCCACACCAGGGGTGCTCACATGGCTCCCCCCAAACAAAATGTGCCTCAGCCAAAAATGCTCAGGGAAATGAATGGCAGGGCTGGCACTGGCTGTCCACACTCCTGTGTACAACCCTGCCTCCACCAAACTCTCCAAAAAGCCAAACCTCCATTTCCAAGAGCCCTGCCAGGCTGTTTGCTCCTTTGCCCCAGGAATTTCTGTTCATTGAATGAGGCAGATCAAGCAGCAACAGATAATTCTACCTCTGAGTGTTTATTTTTGGTGTGCTGGAGTCAAAGTGCTCCTGCTTCCTACAAGCTGCCAAATGCGTTCTCTGCCATCACCAACTTAGGACACCCCAAATAATACGGCTTTGCTGCTCCTGCTCATCTCTTTTTGCTACATCTGATGCCACCCCAAAGATTTTGGGAGGCAACACTTGCCCTTGGGCTGTGAGGCCCAACCAAAATACAGAAGTTGAAATGCAGCTACAGAAGTGTCTTCATGAAACCTCAGCATCCTGCACTTGCTCCTCCTGAAAAGCATCACTACAGACAGAAATCACGCTGGTCATGCAGGAGACCATTCTCTGAACACCCCAAAACACTTGTTCTGCTTGTCCAAGGGTGAGAGTTTCCCTGCTGAGGCCAGGGAAGACAACAAAGCCATTTTGGAAAGGCAGAGGCTCAGCTAGATGCCCCTCAGCCCTGCCTCCCCACCCAAGCCCCACAGATCAGAAACCTGATTATTTCACTGATAAGAGCACTGCCTGAACAGTTTTTTGGACCTTTAAGCCCAGGTGAGATGCACTTTTATGGCTCTGAAACCTGAGCTGCCACACTCTACTGCTTTTGTGCTCTAGCAGGGCAGGCAGCAGAGCCAGGAGCCAGCTCCCCCTGCCCCACTCAGCCACCAGCAGGGCAGGGAGGGTGGATGGTGCCTGTGCCCCCCAAAATGCAGCTCTGAGAAGAGCACAGCTTGGCACATTGAGCAGGGCCATGAAACTCAGGCAGCCCTGAGCCTGCAGTGGGAGTGGTGAGGGAGGGATGCAGCTGCAGCCAGCCAAAAAGTGCAACATGTGGGCTTGGTTTTCATTCTTACTTTTGTTGTCACTAAGCTACATTGCCTGTACACTTGGAAGACTCAAGGACTAAATCCTCCTTGCTGATCTGCCATGTGCCTTGTCTCCTATACAAATTGAAAACCACGTGTCTGGCCTTCACTGAGATGGAAATACTATTTTTTGGCATCCTGGCAGTTCCTTGCTTTGTCCCCTTCTTGACAATGAGGATTTACTTGGTTTCATTTCACACACAGAGCTGTAGTCACAACAGGGTTTTTGGATGCTAGTCTAATTCCTAGGATGCTCTGCCAACACTTGCTCTGGTGTAAAGAGGGATAAAATAATCAAAATCACAGCAAACACATTCTGAACAAAATGTTCTATTTAAAAGCTACAGATATAGGCAAAAATACACTGGATTAGGAAAAGCAAAGCTCATGGCAAAGGGAAATCAAAATAAAAAAGGAGCAGATAGTGAGATGAGCAGTTTGAAGGACCATTCAGAGGAGTGAAAATTTGAAAATCTATATTTGCAATCTTTGCTAAGGTATTACAGAGAGAATTAGAGCAAAATGTACATTGTATGTAATTTCTGCTCCTGACAGCAAAATACAGGAGGCAACACTTCTTAATCAACATGTGGAAGTCCAATTCAGCCTTGTGGGGTGTGCCCAACACTCCATGTGCTGTACAGATGTTTCATGCTGAGAGATGCAACCACAGAGGAGGTTTGTCAATTCAATGAATCAGCTCAAAACAAAGCTCTGAAGGTTGAACTGACTGCCACAGCCAAAACCCCAAGCTCAAGGAACCAGAAGACAAGTATTTTCTTTACCAGTGTTGGGAAGGGATTAAAGATCTTCCTACTCCTTTTGTTAGTGAATGGTTTTCCTCATTAACACCGTGTTTTATATTACAGGTGTGCAGGAGAGGAGGGGGTGGCCTGGAAAAGCCTTTCCACCTGGAACCTCAGTGTTTGCATCCAAAGAGTCATTTTCACCCTCTTTAATTAGCAATATAAACAGTCAACATCTGGTATTAATAATTCCTCCAAAGTCAACACCTGTAGCAAAACACGGTTTGCTATTACAGCTACTGAGAAGTAAAGTAAGCAAGAAAACCTTCAGATCTTTGCCAACAGATTCACCCAAACACAAAATCCAGGCTGGAAGGATTCAGCTGCTTTTACTAGATGTGCAAAGCTCTTTCCAAAACCAAGAACAAATTTAAACTCCATGTGCTCACATAGACTCTGATGAGAAATGGAATGTCTTACCTTCCAGAGATGACTTCAGGGGCTGCATAATTTGGGGAACCACAGCTGGTGCGTAGAAATTCACCATCTGACATCATGTTGGACAGTCCTAAAAAACCAAAATGCTTATTACACACTGATGTTTGATCTAAAGGTCCAGACATGCTGTGTGACGTACGTCACAAAAGAAGAGGCAGGGAAGTGGAGTGGGATATTTGGAAGGGAACTGTTGATATAATTTAGATAGACTTCTCTGACCTGATTTGAAAATTATTACTTTTGTTATTATTGTTGTTGTTTGTTTGGTTTTTTTTTGGGTTGGGTTTTTTTTACATCCAACCAAGAAATATTCACTCCAGGCTAATTTTGCTCCTCTAAGTTGCAAATCCCAGAGCACAGAAGACAAGAGACATAATTCATCCCAGAGCACTCAGTTCATATGGCAACTGGGGCTGTGAAATGAGTAAATCTTCAGCAGGATTTACATTGCTAGAAAGGACTCATCAGGACAGAGTTGGTAGCCCGGGTATTTTAATGGATTTCAATTCCTAATGCCACTTAGAGACTCCTGTTACTGCTGGTTGTAAAATGAGCTGAGGCCAAGAGCACATGGCCAAACAGAGGGAGAACATGCACAAAAATAAACACACACAGCAGCTCACCCTGAACCAGCTGCACCCAGCCTGCCTCAAACACAAATTAGGTAAATTTGATGTAGGCTGATTGCACTAAAACACAGGAGAGATTTACAAATTGCTTCTCTGCTCCATTCTCAGTGCCACTGCAGGAGCAGCCTGCAGCAGGTAATCCCTGAGCTGCTGCTGCAGGAAGGGCAGTGTTCATGGGATTTCCAGGTGGCTGGAATTGCAGTGTTTGTGAGTGTGTGATTTCCAGGTGGTTGGAATGGCAGTGTTTGTGAGTGTGGGATTTCCAGGCTCTGCTGCTCCCTGGCCACGCTCTGGCAGCTCTGGAATGCTGCTGGGCACATTCACATACCAAAATCAGCTATCTTTGCATTCATGTGTGCATCCAGCAGCACGTTCTCTGGCTTCAGGTCCCTGTGCACCACCATGTGCCTGTGGCAGTAATCCACTGCAGACAGGATCTGCTGGAAAAGGCGTCGAGCTTCTGCCTCCTCGACCTGCAGGAACAGCAGAGGGAACAGTGCTGGGCTTGGTGGGCACTCAGAAAGGGGAAGGTTGCACTTAGCAAGAAGCCAAAAAAGCTTTCAGAGTGCAGAGAGAAAATCCCAGCCTGTCTGAGAGCAGAAGCAGCAAATAAAGCAGATTTCTCACCCTTGCATTTTACAATGTGCCAGTGTTTGAAAATGATACAGCCCTGAGATGAAAGGTGAGACTTCAGTTGAGGTGAGATGTAACAAGAATTTAAAGGTGGCATCTATCAGACTGTGGCCTCCTGGCCCAGTGGGACTGGTACAGATCCAGACTGGACAAAACACTACAGAGGATGTTGCTGGGAGCAATTCCTCATGGACTTCCTCTGGTGAAGCTGGATATCATTGTGATTTTAATTATCTATATAGCTAATAAAGCTGTATGAGCTATATCAGAGAAACTGTATTTTCAATTATTATTTTAACTGATGAATTCCAAAATATTCCCTTCATGAAAAAAGGAGTTTATGAATGCAGAAGTTCAGAAAAGATCCAAATCAGTCACTGAAAAGATCTAGATGCACAAAATGTGTGAGAAATCAGAACTGTACATAGGAAAGAAAACTGAGTCAGCTCCATTGACCACGACACTAATCTAACCCAATCTGCAGTGAATTTATTGATTTCGTAGCACAGAAAGGGAACATGTGATGGGCTGATCCTTCACCTGAACCCTTTTTCTGGATGTCCACTTTGGCCCATGTTTACCTCCTTGTACTCCAATTGCTCCATGGAGCAGACACCAGCGATTTTCCTTCTAACCAAAATCTCACATTTCACAGGTGATTTACACCCAGTGGGACTGCTGGCATTTGAAAATGTTGCTGAGATAAGCTGCATCCTTGAAAAGCCTTCAAAGAACCTGACATGGAACCAAGAGGGGGCTCTGGAAGAGGTGAGTGACTGGAGTGGAGACCACACCAAGTAGTCTTCCTCTCCCACACCATAAATTTGCTGCTGATCATGGGGTTTTGACAGGCAACCCATAGCTAAAAATCACAAAAATAAGCCAGTTTTCCAAATATTTGTCCTAAGCAACACATTACCTTTTATATTTTGGTTTGAGGGTCAAAAATACACCAGAGAACGCTGTGAAAAATCACACCCAGGTTTTGTGTGAGCCAGTACGAGACACCCCAGATGGGGTTGCTGTAAAGCAACTTCTATTTTGGGCCTTAACCTTAACTGTGCTCCCTTGAGCAGTGATTTTGCTCCTGAACTCCCTCCTCTCCCTACACAAGTGCTGGGACTGGCTCGGGACTGGCACTTACACGTCCGTGCTTACAGATGTAATCAAACAATTCCCCCCCGGACACGTATTCCATGACCATGAAGAAGTCTGTTGGTGTGCTGATCACCTGGTACCTTCAAAAATACAAGCAGATTTAAAAAAATACATCATTAGGAACAGGGAAAGGCTTTTGAACAGATTATTAATTCCACATCAAAATAAGGATTTGTTCGAATCTTGCATTTTTAACCGCTTTCCACTCCTGAAAAGCTGTCTCTTGTTTCCAGTATAACCTTTTACTTGTCTGTGGAAGGACATCTTTTCCAGATCTATGATCTTCCTTCAGCCCTTTAAATAATCCTCTGAAATATCTGCCAGGCAATCTTACCACATTTAGGACTGCCCTGACTTTCAAATTTCCATTTTGGGTAAGATCTGCAACAACAGCTTTACAAATGAAGTCCTGGTTAGCTGGGGGCAAGGAGAGGATCCATGTGGTTCCCCTTATATCAAGATAAAAAAGAGATAAAGAGCTCTAGGCACTAGAGAGAACTTCCTCTGAACAGGTACAGAAAAAAAAAGGAGACCCCCTGAAGTTATTTTTCAAATATTAAATCTCCATAGAGATGGGGATAAAATGCTTCTAGAACGGGGGAAAAAATCCAGAGTATCACCTTCAACTTGCAGATTTAGTCTCCATTTTCCTTCTAAATGATCCCCGAGTGCTGCAAAGACATTTCAGTGTCCCAGCTGGAACAAACTGCCAGTGATGAGCTGAGGTCAATGCAGCCCCAGGAACTGACAGCAGCACCAGCTGGGACCTCCCTCTCTTTTATTTCAGATTCATTGTTTTGTTGCTGTTGTTTTGGGTTTTTTTCACATGAATTTCATTACTTTTTACAGGACTGTAATTTGAAACAAATAGATTTCAGCAATTTTTAAGAGGCTGGCAAGGGAATGTGGGATACTCCCATAAAAATCAATACCATCAACCTCATTTTTCTGAAGAGCTTTGGACCCAGACATCTAAGCTACTGTTAATTGCCCCAATATTTCTTTTATATACATTTAAAAACTTACTGAAAGAGGTTTGTGTGCCCCAGTCTCCTCACATCTTTATCACTGTATTTCATGAACGCAACATGTATCACAGGACACAGATACTGTCGAACTGGATTTAATTTTTACTGCTTGGACAAATGTGTGAACAGGATTTGACTTGCAGGATGCTGGGCACACAGCTGAGGAGCCTTGCTGGTGATTTTTTCATGAAATAATACCAATCTGTTCTCCAATAAATCCATGGAACTGCGAAGTTACTCTAAAGTCAACAGTTGCTGCATGGTTAGTTATTTAACTGTAGAGAGAATTTGTTTTCCCTTCCCTCTAAGCCCCAGGTATTTGCTATATCTCATGCCAGTTTTAAGGCTGACCTAAATGTCAACTTACCCTTGCAGTTACCATTCAACAGGTTTCTTTTATAGGAATGCCAAAGATATTATCGAGTGCCTCATTAATGTGGGCTGGCTGCACAAGCTGGGGATTGAGCAGGAATCCCAGAGGCTGCAGTGCAGGTGCTGATTTACGACCCCAACTCAGGTTCATCAAAGTGGAGACTTTCAAAACTTATGTCTGAATAATAAATTTTGAAAGAAAAAAAAAATGTTCTTTTAAGCTCCGGCTAATCAGCGCATTAAAACATAAATCCTATTTGAGTGGGGGCCAAGGTTTCACTCTCAGAGCCTGCAGTTCATGGAATCATGGAATGGTTTGGGTTGGAAGGGACATTAAAGACCATCCAATTCCATGGGCAGGGACACCTTCCACTATCCCAGGTTGTTTAAAGTCCCATCCAAACCTTGCCTTGAACGCTTCCAAGGATGGGGAAGCTTCTCTGGAAAACCTGTGCCAGCGGATCACCTAACACAAAAAAACCTGACCAAACCCAATTTTTAGTGCCCTAATCCATCTCCTGCAGCCCAGCTGGGTGTGTGAGAGAGGTCTCTGTGCAGAGAGGAGCAGCTGCACACGTGGCAGGGAGGGTACTCACAGTTTGATAATGTGGGGGTGCCGGAAGAGTTTAAGGTTTTGGATTTCCCGTTTGATCTTCCCCACCACATCCAGGCTGCGGATTTTCTGCCTGTTCAGTATTTTCACTGCCACTTTGTGCCCCGTCAGCTGGTGCTCACCAACTATTAGAGAGAGAGAGAGCATTGCAAAGTCACTAAACAGTGCTATGAGAGCATTGCAAAGTCACTAGACACTGCAGCATGGTTCACACAAGAAGTTTAGGGCACTATAAGCAAAAAGCCACTTCTGAACGGGAAAAAAAAACCCAGAAGATGAGGGTGTGAAATATTTTAATTAAATATTTTTTGTCTCTTCACTGTTTTCCCAGTGGAGTCATAGAAGGCAGAAGAGAGGGTGCTTATCTGCCAAAAGCACTCCACTAAATAAAAGAGTGAGTTGCTGGAGGAGGTCATACCCCAAGCTAATTTGCAAGGATTTATAGCATGTAAAAGCTAGATTAATCAGAAACAGATATATTTAAATGGCAGAGGAGAATCTCCACCATAACACACTGGTAGACAAAATCCCTCATAAACCCAGCCTTAAAACTAGACCATCACACTTATTTTTTTTTAAAAAATGGTATGGGGATTTTCCTTGCCCAAAATAGGACTGCGGGATTTGCATTACTAAAATGAATTTCTATTTATACTTCCCCCAGCGTGCTTCTTGCTTTGATGACAAGCTGCAGGAACACTGCTGGACTGCAGGAGCTAACTCTGCTTTTAGGAAAGATGCAAACTCCAATAGAGGTTTTTAAAAAAATGCACTTGGTGCATTGAGATGCTGATGTTTATCTCCTATGTTCAGGGAAAAAAATCATACCCATAAACTGGGAGGAGCAGACCCACTGTCACTGGGGGAATTGTAATTAATGCTGTGAAACTAATTCAGCATGGGATCCATTTGTTATCAATAAACAAACCACACCAAAAAAAAAAAAAAAGCTCCCAAGGAAGCAAGATTTATATTGAAATTGAGAGCAGAAAGAGCTTAAAAATGTGGTGTTTCTACCCAAAAAGGGTTCTCAGAACGAGCTTCCCCTTCTCAGTATTTTCCAACATGATATTCAACAGAGTGACACACGGATGGTTCCCTAAAGCCTGCACAGCAAAACCTGCTTACAGTAAATATTTGTGCTCTCTAATTACCAGCATCACCCTTCCAGTGCAAGGAGTTAATTATTGCCAGCAAACCTTGTTATTACATTATTAGAGGCTGTAATTTTGGCAGCCCTAATGAGCTGATCAGCAGCACCCGGGGTGAGCAGGAGGTGTGAGAAGGGCAGGGCAGCAGCACTCAGGGCACACCAGGTCACTATTATTAGCCACCAGATAAGACCTGCCAGAGATTCTTTCCTCAAGAAGAGCATCCTAAAAATAAAACACTTGACTGCCCTTGAAAATTAAAGCACCACTTTGCATGTCCATTTTATTCCTCGTAATACTTAAAACTACTAGATGATGGAATGAAAATAAACTCAGCTTTGCAGCAGAGATGCAATTTAGGGATTAGCTGAGGGCTGGAGGAGGCAGATAATTCCTCAGAGGGCTGTAAATAGTCCAGGGAGGCATTTTCCCTGGTGAATCCTCAGGGAGAGGAGAGCAGGGCAGTGCTGCAGGGAGGTAAAACAAAGTTTCATCACTGAACTAGGAGGAAAACCCTGATTTCTCCCACCCTTTGTTTCAGGACAACACTTTCTGGCCTTGCCTCAGCATATGCTTTGAAAATTTTTTATTATACACTAAGAAAAAAAAAGGCCATGCCCAGAATGAATAATTATTGTTTTTAATAGTATTGCCAAACAGTTCATCCCCTTTCCCATCCGTGACAAACAATGTGTAACTCTGCAAAGGTTGGCTAGCACAAACACATTAATAATTAAAAATAAACAGCCTGTTTTGTAATCCATCTTTTGCTTACAGTAAGCATTAGATACAGAGATATTATTGTTTCTGTCCCCAGTGACTTGTTAAGCCTCCTGGAACTCGGTGAGGGAGAGAGACAAAGAGGGAACACAATTTCCTATGTGGTGGGAGAGTTTTAAGCCTTTGAGGGCTCTCTGGACTGCAGGAATTTAGACATGGACAGTATGAACAACCCTCCCTCTGCTCACAGAGTCACTGTCTCTGAAACCCAGGATCATCCCAAAAGTGAGGGGCAGGTCCCAGGTGTCCCACAGGCATGGAAAAGGATCCTCACCCTGTCGCAGACACCTTTTCATGACAAATCTTTTCTTTAAGATTTTTCCTCCTGAGAAGCTGAGAAGCCTCAGGAACAAAATGTAAATAATGGTTATCTGCTGCTGTGGAATGCAACAAGTAGATCTGTGATTGGTCTCATGTAGATGTTTGGAATTAATGGCCAATCTCAGTTAGCTGGCTCAGACTCTCTGTCCAAGCCACAAACCTTTGTGATCATTCTTTTCTATTCTTAGCTTAGCTAGCCTTCTGGTAAAACCTGTTCTTCTGTTCTCTTAGTATAGTTTTAATGTAATATATATCATAAAATAATAAATCAAGCCATCTGAAACATGGAATCAACATTCTTGTCTCTTCCCTCTTCCAAGAATCCCCGTGAACATGGTCACACTGACCCCAAAGTCAGGCCACCTCCTTCCCTCTCACTGCCTCCCCAGATTCAAAAAGTTAAAAGGAGACTCTTGACATTTACTTAATTTTATAAAATGAAACAAAAAAAAAAAAAGAGGAAGAATAGTGATTATAGCACCAAGGGCACAGATAATAAATAAACCCCTTGACAGCATGGATTTCTGCATCACTTTCTTTATCCTACCAGCTCAGGCAGCACAAGCAGTTAACATTTTTGCAAATGCTTCAGGGCAATGTAGAAGCTCTGTGGAGGGGTGAGGAAACTCCTTCCCTATCAGCTCTGCTGGCCCTTATCTCAGCCCAAAGCTAAAAATGAAATCCATCCCCAGCATATATTTAGCAATGCTGCATTAATTCTGCTTGTGTGCTGTCCCAGCCTCTCCCTGTCCTTCCTCTGCTCAGTCTCCTTTAGTTTATCTTCCCTCTGACACCAAGTTTGTCTTTCAGCAGCAATGGCACAGTGCCTGGGAAAAATGGGATCTGATCCCGACTGGAGCCCATGGAGGTGACACAAACACAACCCAAGTCCTGGAGGGACCAAAAATCTGTCACTTTTGTGGCAAACAAAGCAGGCAAAGGAGCCACCAAGGATGCCATGGGTGGCATCACACAGGGAAAATATCAGGGTTAGTACTGTAAACCTCAGTGTGGTTACAGCAGAGCTTTTGGGGACCCAAAAGGGTGGGATGTGCCCACAAATTTGTCACAAACACAATTTGTCTCATCTGTTCTTGCCAATCCCCTGGGAAGGAGATGCCACCTCCTTCCCCCAAGGCTTTGCTAAACTCCCAAATCCAAGACCTCCAAGTTCTATTTCTGCAAATTATATTGATTTTCTGCAAATTAGAAATTTTTTTTCTGCAAATAATTCTATTTTCTGCAAATTATCTTTGGCCTGGAGAAGAGGCAAAATAACTGTATTTGGTAAAAATGCTGTGTGGTAACTTCAAGTCTTGACATGACACCTCCTGTCCATCCACCACACCAGCTCCTGCCACCTTCCTCTCTTTAAACAGATGCTGGGTCCTCATTCTCATTTCCAGATAGAATTTCAGTGTTAGCACCAAAATCCTGCCCTCAGCTGCCAGCCTCTTTGCTCCCCTCCATGCCTTGAGTGGACTTGTAAATGAGATCAAGAAACTGAATGGGTTTAAAACAAAACAGCTTCCTGCAGCGTTCAGCCAGTTTTTAGGAGGATGACCCAGGCAGTCAGGGATTTTTTTCTGTTTTGCCTCTGGCTCCTGATAGCTCAAAATGACTCCTCAGCTCCAGCCATGAGTTGAAGCACTGGTTTGTACCCCATGTCACTAAATCCTCCCTTTCACTGCCATTTCTTATGTCCCTAATGACAGTAATCCTGAACAACTGTAAATTATGATTTAACTTTGACGAGCAAGGCAGCAAAAAGCACCAAAACCAAAACCTTGTGCAAGGCAGAAATTGAAGAAAACACATCAGCAACAAGAAATGTCACTGATTGCACTTGACTTCTCCCTGAAAAAGCAATTATTATACCCAACACACAATGCTTGAATCAATCAACAAAAACCTCTACTTTTCTCAGGTGAATACAAGTTTTTCTAAAGCTCATTCGACTAAAATGCTGTAATTCTATATAAATGGGATACTTCATTCCTTCATTTCAGTTCCCAGTCTCAAGCACAAACTTCACCTGTCAGTTGTAGGCAAAATATTAAGGGAAAAAAAACCATAGACAGGGTACTACTCACCTATAAAGGATTTTGAGCTAGGAAATCTCTTTTAAGTTATTTGAAGTATTTCTTTGGAAAATGTCTGTTTTTACCACACTTGGGTCATATGTGGGGTAGGGGGTGTTTGCGCTAGTTAAAGATAAAAAAGGCTATTGTTGGCAGGTTTAAATTGGTCTGCAAGGAAAAAAACTGCCTTTGGAGCAGTTTTGAGGTCTGCTAGTACACAGGAGTGATTTAAATGGTCCTTACTGTTAGAAGTATTTATTCTGATAATTCTTTAGACAGTAAATTTGTGGTTTGGGATTAAACACAGCAATATATTTTTAGGGGCGTGATTAATGGCCACAGGTGGACTTAGCTGCAGTGGTCGTGGTGGTTTCTTTCATCTGCTGTCAATTTGGGTTTATTTTAAAACTCCAGGAACTGAGGGCAGGCACAGCACCCCTTTGCCCAGCCACATCCCACTGGGGTGGGGTGACACAGAGTGGGACAGCTGCTCTCCCAGCTCGAGCTAAACCCAATTCCAACTGGGAAACTGACACTGAATTTTGTTGGTTTTTTGGTTTTTAGTATCTTGTTTAAAAACTGAAATTTGCTCGTAATGGCAGCAGAATCCACAGGGAAAAAAAGAAATACAAATATTTGCAAACCTCAGAGCCAGGTAAAGCAAAGCCCTCAGGATGTGAGCTGGCTGCTCTGGCATGGCTGGACAAGGAATCCCTGTGTGGAGCCCCCATCCTGCAATCCTGGAATGGTTTGGGATGGAAGAAACCTTAAAGTTCATCTCATCCCTCCCCCTGCCATGGGCAGGGACACCTCTGACTACCCCAGGTTGCTCCAAGCCCCGTCCAACCTGGCTTTGAACACTTACACGGATGGGGCAGCCACAGATTCTCTGGGCAACCTGTGCCAGGGCCTCCCCACCCGCACAATTTCTCATTTTCAGACAATTTCAAATTTTGAGACACTCTAATGACTCACAATGCCTCTTATTTGCAGGTAGCTGATAATTAATTAGTTTAAAAATGGAATTTGCAAACTGGACGCCTTTTTGAGAGAAGCACTTGATTAAGCTGTTAACACGGAATCTTCACGCAAGTTGGTCCACAAGGATTAAGGATGACAAAATTTATATGAATAAAATACTGATTTCATTGATGATGATAATGCTGAGACTGAAATAATTAATTCATTATTATTTACAACACAATACACATAGTTATAACTAGTAGCTATTACTATTACTAGTAGTTTCTATTGGGAACAATTTCTCCCCAGTATTTCGCCTAACCCTGCCCTCTGTCAGCACCAAGCCATTCCCTCTGCCCCAACCCCTACCAAAACTCCCTCTCCAGCTCTGTTACAGCCCCTTTAGGCGCTGGAAGGTGCTCTCAGGTCTCTTTGGACCCTTCCCTTCCCCAGGTGCAGGCGCAGCCGGTCCATCCCTTCCCGCCCGGCCCCTCCATCCCGCGGGGCGCGCTCGGTCCGCGGGGCGATGCTCGGACCGAACCGCCTCGGCTGAGGCTCCAGGAGCACCCCGGAGCACCTGCGGGCCCTGAGGAAGGACGGCAGCGCATTCCCGGCACCGAGGGGCAGGATGCCGGTGCGCCTCCAGCCTCCCCATCACCTCCCTCCGAGCGCGGCAGCGAAGTTCGGGTGGGTGCTGCTCGCAGCATGGGCTCCGGGGGCTGTGACAGCCCGGAGCACCGAGCACTGCATCTCCCACCGCCCGGAGCACCGAGGGGCGAGCGCTGCATCTCCCACAGCCCGGAGCACCGAGCGCTGCATCTCCCACCGCCCGCCCGCCGCCACCGCCGCATCCCCGCCCGTGCGCCCCGGGCACGGCTCCGCCAGCCGCTCCCCCCGGGATGCCGCCCAGGGAACGGAGCCGGGGGAAGGCAGCGGAGCCCGGGGAAGGCAGCGATGCCGGCGCGGAGGCCGCGGGAGAGGGAGGAGGGAGGCGGCGGCGAGGGGCGCTCCCGGCCCGGCCCGGCCCCGCCCGCGGCCGCGGTACTCAGCTCTTGACTTTGCCGAAGGTGCCGACCCCCAGCGTGTCCCCCAGCACGTAGTGGCCGATCTTCACCCGCCCATCGTGCTTCTGCTTCTCGGCCATGTTCGCCCCCCGCCGCCGGACCACAATGCACAGGGCCGGGCCGGCACAGGGGCGGGGAGCGGCGAGAGCCGAGCGCGGCGGGCCCGGCCCGGGGGCGGGGAGCGCCCGGCGCCGCCAGGTGCGGCCGCGGGGAGGGCACGGACAGCGCCCGCAGCGGGGACACCTGCCCGACACACCCACCGGGGCGGCACCGGCCGCGGCAACGCCCTCCGCGGGTGGCACCGATCGGGGCGCCTTCTCTGTGGCCACGCACCTGCCGGGGGTGATATGGCATCCTTTAGAGAGGCACCTGCCGGGGTGACACTGTACTCAGGGTACATTCTCCATTGCCACGCACCTGCCGGGGGTGGCGTGACATCCCTTAGAGAGTCACCTGCCAGGGGTGGCACCCTTCCCGGGTGACACTGTGCAGAGGGTACCTGGACAGTGCACCTGCCGGGGGTGACATGCTTTCAGAGAAGCACCTGCCTGGGGGTGACACCCTCCCCAGGTGACATTTTGGGGGCTTACATTCTCTATTGCCACCCATCTGCCAGGGGTGATGCCCTCCCCAGGTGACACTGTTCAGAGAGTGCATTCTCTATTGTCACACACCTCCCTGGGGTGACAGCCCTTTGGAGCAGCCTCTGCCACAAAGGGACATCATCCTCCGGTGGCACTGTCCTCTGTGTGCACCTTCAATTGCCTGGGGGTGACAGCCTCCTTTGGTGGCACTGTGCTCAGGGTACACCCTCCCTGTGAGCAGTGACACCTCCCTGGGTAGAACATAAACTCTGTCTGGGCCACATGAATTGTTCACATTAAAAAAAGAATGGATGTTCATCCCAAAAAAACCCCAGCATGATTGAACACCAAAATCGGCACCTAGCCTATCTGGAGAGCGGTCCTGCCACATTCTAATAGCGTTAATTTGTAGCCCTTTGTTTCTCATTCAGCTGCACAAAGTAGCAGAAGGCAGTGGCAAATGCAATCTGGGCTCCAAGGTAATAAAGAGCTGTTTGGGAAGCTGGAACAGTGTGTGTAAACACAGGGTCCCTGACAAAATAATGACGAGCCTTTGCAACTGTGCTATCATAAATAATAAAACAGCAGCTTAATTCAAGAAATCCAATAACATAAATAACTAAAATAAGCCGGGGGTAGAACAGGAAGGTTGCTGTAACACAAAACCGTTTGTAGGATAATGAAACCATCTCTGTTCAACCAGAACAACTGATATACATGGAGGCATAAGAGAAACAGCATTTACAAAGAGCAAACTCTGGATAAGATACAATGCTACAATCTCCTGGAATGCCTGAGAAAGCTCTGCCTTCTCCAGGCAGCTGTAAGGCTGTCAGCCCATGCAAACCTCTACCCTGAAAGCTCTGGGCAGCTCTGCACTGTCTTTGGGGTTTGTTTGATCTCCCCTTCCAGTCCTGGCAAGCCCTGGCTGTATCTGAATGAACCACCACACAAAGAGGTGTGAGCTCCAGTGGTGTTTGTTTAATGGTTAAACTAAGATGTTTAACAAGAGCTGCTGCATGGACATGCACTGTTCTGCTGTCCTGCTTGTTTCCTGAAAGCTGGAAAAGAGCTTTTTCACAAAATCTCAGAGCAAGCTGATGCCCTGAGTGTTTCCACCACCTCTTGACACACAGGAGCTGTCTATTAGAAACATCAAATTAATATTAATCGGTTTTTTAACTTACAGGATATATTTTGGGGATTTAAGCTTTGCAGGAGAATCACAGAAAGGCTTTGCTTGGCAGCAAGGATGTCCCCAGGTGGGTCAGTGCTTCCCACCCTCTCCCCTGTTGCTGAGAGCTGAGAGCAGAGCCTGGGATGCTCCTGGAAAGCAGCGCCAGGGCTCAGCCTTGAGAAGGTTTGCTTAATTTCCCTCTGGCTTTTGAGAACCTGCATTTATGTGTGTGAATCTGTACCATGGTCTCCTCACTTGCAGACACGGGGGAAGGGAGCTGTGCTGGCAGGCAGGAGCTGCTGAAGGGTCTCAGGGAAAGGCTGGGTGGGGCGTGTTGCTAGGAGATGGAGACTCCAGTCTGGCAAAGTGGCGCTTTTATTTTTGGTACAGATCACACAAAATGGTATTTGACTGGGAAGCAGGGTAGAAATCTCTTCTCCCTGCTTGCATTCATCTCTGAAGGATCTGTTTTGGGTAGTAGCGTTGCAGCTCATTTAAAACACAAATCAAACATAGACTGCATGGTGTTCAGTCCAGCTGGAGGTTGGGTGTTGGCAATCTCTGAGAATCTTTTCTTTTTCTATTTTCTTTTTCCCTGCTCATTGAGAAATCCCTTGTCTGAGCATCAGGATATATGTCTCTCTTTAGGGGAGGGCATCCTCACAAGCCTCTGCTTCCTTTGTGGTTGGTTGTCTCTTGTTTTTTCAGACATTGTGAGTTAGCAGTTGAGTTTTCTGGGTTTGGGCTTATTAAATACATCCTGCCAGGGCTTGTTCTCCTTTGCTTTGCTGCCCGTGCCTCTTGTTACACCAGGAGCCCCCATTCCAGCTGGCTGCATGTCCACCCTCCTCACAGACAGGGACGGTGCCATGGCACAGGGAAAGCTGCCATGGAATTCACCTGGCCCTTCCCTCTCCCTGGCCTTCTGCCAGGGCTGGATTTACAGGAGAAATTGGGTCTGAGTGCTAAAATGTGGGATTTTTTGGCACCCTTTTGTGGGATGCAGGAGTCCTGGGCAGAACACAGATGGGTCCCTTGCAGCTCCCACAGAGTCTTCGCTCATGCTCACATTGTGCTGGTGCTCCTCTCAGGCACCAAACTGCTTTCACTGGACATTCAAAGGGATTTTTTTGGAAATGCAGGGCTAAGCAGCAGGATGCTGAAGGGCTGGGAGGGCACCAAGGAAAAGCTGGATGCTGTCTGTTGCAGCACTTGGCTTCAGCCACCATTGTGAACCTGCAGCTATCCAACCCTTGTAAGGGCCCTAAATCTGTGGATTTTCGGTAGGATTTGCATTCTCAGTCTGTTTTGGGTTTGTAGCTGAACATCTCCGGCTGTGTCCAGCCTCCTGCCTCACACCCTGCCCGTGTCACCACATTTAGGTGCTGTATTTTTCCAGTTCACTGTGACCAAAAAAAATGCCAGGGATGCTGTGCATCTGTTAACACAAAAGCTCAGCTTCTGGGGCATGCTATGCAACCCTTGTAAGTGCCCTAAATCTGTGGATTTTCGGTAGGATTTGCATTTCCAGTCTGTTTTGGGAGGAGATAGTTAATGAGATAATGCAGCAGTGGGTAAACTGTGACACGTGAAATGGGATTTTTTGAATGTTGGAGAAACTGCATGCATCAGAGGCAGCTTATGCACATCAGATTTGTAACCAAGCAATTCCCATTTATATTATGTAAGTGATGCCATCTATCAAACCCCATGTAGCAGGCAAGAGCAGATGTTGAACCATTTGCACCACAGTGTTGGAAATTAACTTTTCTGGGGGATTATTAAAATTATTGGTTATTCAAATACAATCTTGTGAGTGTGATATAATGGAACAACAAACAGCATTATTTAAAAAATGTAATTGGTGTGAGTCCAGAACTTATTATGGCCTCTTGTTGGGTAAAAATCTGTGTGGCAATATGTGATGCCCTGGTGGGGATGTGAGCTGAAAACCCTGTATGAGAGAGCTGAAAACTCTGTATGAGAGAGGGGAAGGAGGGTGGCATTTCTTGCATTGAAAATAGAACATTTTAAGCATGCACATGATAAACAGTTCATGAGGAGGCTGCTGAGGAGACACTGCCTGCCTGGGTGCACAACACTCCAACCAGCAGCAAGAGAAGGACATTATTTCTGAGAGGATTACTCCTACATGAGAATGCGACTTCTGGATAAGATTTTATTAAGGGCACAAATGAGTAATTGGATTCCTCAACCCATTAGAATGTAACAGTAATGAATTCCTGCTATCTTTTTATATGCCCTGTGATTAGTGTGATGGTTTGGTTGGGGGGTTATTTTTAAAGCAGATAGTTGTGGTTGGGCTCTATGATGCTAGAGGTCTTTTCCAACTTTAAAAATTCTATGACTTTCTATGCACTAATCCCTTTTGTGCAATCATGCAATCAATCCTTTAGGCTTTGCCCACAAATATGAAGCCCAATATAGGGTGCAAGGTGAGCTATATGGAAAGGTCAGGGTGTATTTTTTTATTTTCATGCCGTTTCACCCTTCTTTTCTTTACAAATTATGGGCCGTACAGTTCCTACAGAAACTCAGCAGCAAATTCTGGAAGACAACTTTCAGCTGGGTGAAGGCAAAATCAGTGGCTGTGAGCTGCTTGGAGCAGCATTTTTTTCCAGTAGCTTGCCAAGTATGTTTTCTTTTGGGGTATAATCTGTGAGATAATCCCAGCTCCTCTGGGAAAGCACTTGCTGCTGAGGAGGAGTTGGAAGTTTATCCTCACCCTTAACTTGGCACCCATGAGCATCTATTCCAGGGACAGACTGAAGAAGAGTTTAGGCCTGTGCAGTAGATCCAGCCTTTTTTGACCTTGATATGAACTGCTGTTTAAAGATCTGTGACCTTGCATCCTCAGTCCACTGTTTCCTTGCCCCATCTGAAGCATTTTCTGTATCCAGCAGGGAGGAACAGCATGTTCTCCACGTCCACAATGGCCAGGACAAGAATAGGGCTAAAATTAAACCACACACACATGGCATGAAACGAAGAAATACTTGAAGAGAGGCTTACTGAAGTGTCAGGATCTGTGATTTGGATGGGGCTGTGGTGTGCAGATGTTCCTGCCTGGGGTGGAGGGATGTTGTGAGCTCAGTCCCTGCACGTCCAGTGCCTGCTTTGTGTCTCAGCCAGGACCTCAGGATTTGGGTTCATCCCCTCTGGGATGCTGGGAAAGCTGTCAAGGGTTACGTGCAGTTAAGGGTTGGAGCGCCCAAAGTAGGAGAAATGGAGCTGAGCTAAAGTCAAAAAATCCCCATCCAAACCTTCCACTTGGCTGCTGCCAAGCCCTAATCTTTAAGTGGCTTTTATTTTATTTTTGCTTTCAAGCTCCCCACCTGGGAATCTGCCAAAGTTAGACCTCTCTGATTAAC